AGGAGGTGTAGATATCTACATAAGGTTGTCCAATTAATGTGTTGAGAGGATGGGATTAGTCAGTCTTGTTCTACAATCCACACTCCATGCTGTTAAGGAAGTTTAAGAATAGGTGAATTGTATTTTGTGTATACTTAAGTCTTACTTTAAAAAATTCTGCTGACTTTAACATTTAAAAAAAGGAATTTTCAAGCAAATTCTACCTCATTTAGAGTTTACAAGCTCCCTTAGTTAAAATCTAGAATTGTCCTAGGAGCTAATTGCCTCCTAGTTTATGACATAATTCCTTGGAAATTATGATATGGGCCATTTCACTTGTTCCAGAACATTTGTAAAATCTCCATTGCTGGTCATCCTGAAATTAAAAATGATAAAACCTAGGTCCCCATTTGTGATTTAGGACCACAAAGGTTGCAATGGGAAAGTGGGCCTTCTAACTCCTTCACCAAGACTTGCTCCACAAATGCATAGCTTGTTTAAGAAACAGTATACAGGTATAGAGAGTCTAAATGAATTATTTAATATTCATTGCAAGTACAACTTTTAAGTTTCCACTGAGTGCACCTTAAAGGCAGACATTCAGAAACATATGAATTATTTCAGTGTTGAGTAGAAGCATACATTGAATAATGTTACTTTATGTTAGCAACACCAGTGATCAAAAGAAAGGGGAACTCAACTTTATAAGCAGTATAACAAAAAATTTTAGACAGCCATTGAAGTAGTAAATTTTTGCTAAGCTTTATTGACATCTTTGGAGAAATTGAAATCATACACTACCTCCCAGTATATAAGTCCTGGTGGTGTAGTAGTTACACGTTTGGCTGCTAACAGAAAGATCATGGGTTCAAAACCAATAGGCACACTGTGGGAGAGAGATGAGGCTGTCTACTCCCATAAAGAGTTAGAGCCTCAGAAACTTGAAGGCACAGTTCTACCCTTTCCTAAACGGTTGCTATGAGTTGGAATCAACTTGATGGCAGTGAGTTTTTACACACACACACACACTCTATCCAGATGATTAAGAATATATGTATACGTGGATCTCTTGAGTTTGTCGATTTTATTTTGTTTTTGCTGTTAATGACAGAAATATCGAAAATGGTGATAAAGTAGTCATCAGAGAGAACTGAAATTTTGACTGGAGGTGTGACAAAATTTTTTTTCTGCCTATTCAAAACATTAGGGCTGTGGGAAGTATAGGCTCAGGAAGTAACTTATTAGGGATTTGAAGTTTAATCACAGTTCAGATAAGAGAGATCAATGTCATACGTCTCATTCATGTACAAACAATTCCATTTTTCTTTAATATTCCAGAATGATAATCACATTCTATTAGTATAGAAGAAAATAAACATACACATTTGCTTCAGACTTTAATGTAGTGCTTAATTCAATTTTAAGATCATTTATAA